ACAGCGGCAACTGCGGAACATGTCTCCACGACCCAGTCGAAATCTCGTTTCGCAACAACCTGTACAAAGCGAAGTTTCCGAAAGTAAGCCAGTGTCCCTTGCTATCTCTCGCTTTTCTTCTTTTTTTGTTATTGCGTTTCTCTTATCTGCAGGCGAAGAAGGAGATGGAAGAGCGCCTTGAAAAATTTATCTTCGAGAACAACGTTCACCCATGTTTCGACGCCCGCGTCAACGGTGACGACAGCTGCCGTCTCGGCAAAACGGCGTTTCTTGCGGTAACGGCGGCAGCGGCTGAAAAGAGTCCAAATCTCGTGAAGCTTTTCTCTGACGGTTCAGCCAGCTTTGTACATTACCAGATTATCGAGATCGCATGCACGTGTCTCCAGAAGTGCAGAGAAGACCAAATATCTTCAGATTACTTCATGGAAATGTCCAATAATTTGGACAGTATTCTGGCGCAAGTTCGTATTTCTTGCTCCTGTTTTTCAAATTTGCTTTTTCCCTCCTTCAAACTTCCGTCTGTTGTAAACGCTGCAAATAGTGCGAATCAAAATCTCGTTGCTATGTCTTAAATAGGAAATGACACACCATGATGTCAGTTAAACCCCGGAATTGATCAGATGTGGAGTAATGTAAATGGTACAAATGCTCTTTTCCCTTATTCGTCAACTATGGACTTCGAAACGTTTTCTTAGAGAGTAACTGTCATTCCGTATTACGGTGAGAGATACGACACTACGCTATATTCCAGCTCTCGCGGCATCCTACACTACTGTCAGCTGAACTAGAATTGTTCTCTTAAATCGTCGTTGGAAGGCTAAGGCAGGCAGCTGATTGAGATTCCGTCACAGTCAGACATTCTTATGGACGACATACTCCTGTTGATCTGACCACATTTTCATTCTTCCTAAAACAATTGAGAAATGGGGATGATTTCAGTTGCCTTTTTGTACCGCTTTCCTCTATTTTATAATTGCATTAGATTAAAAACTGACCAGTGATGTGAAACCCTTAAAATTCATGTAATACCTGTATATACCATTTTTATTTTTAAAGAGATTTTTAAGAACAAAATTTACTGTTGAGGTCGAAGCAGATCACTCAGTATTTTTAAGCGATAAAATTCATTGGAGTTTTGTATCTTCCTCTTCTCTGGTGTAAACTACGGCCATATTAGCATGGATTTTAAAGTTTAAACGCTGTTTGTCGTGCTCTTAAATATAAAATGACCGAGGATTCTAGATCATTCTCATTCACCTTTACTTTAGGGCTCCATTTTTAGGACAGCGATTTTGACCGTCCTGATGGAGTGCTTGTTTGATTTGAATTAAGTGCTCAGTACTGTCAATAAACTTTATTGTAACTTCAAATGGACTATGGTACTGAGTATGATGCAGTAATCCTTGACTAAAAAGTGTGGAAAAAATACTATACGTACAGGGTACAGCAGCCAGAGAATTAGTACTTAGTCCCTATAGAATCCAAGAGACGATGCTTTAGGGCGGGAGGATTCACGAGGGTATTGATCAAGTGAGGTGCCACTGATTTTTTGTCTAAATCGGTCATTATTTTCGGGGTTATAAAGTTGTTTCTAGTAGCAATCTTCTAAACCTGTATGAATTGGGAAGATCATAGCTTGCAGTAGACGTCCTGCAAAGGATGGAAAATTGTTATCAACTGCCTGCACAATGGTCTTGGCCATGATACCGTTGTACAATCCGCCAAATCTCCAGAATGCCCGCAACAGCCTTAAGCAGTTCTCACGAAGACTTCAAAACAGACTAGATTATCAGAAATGATGATTGGCATTATTCTATTATCAAAGCAAACAAATTTCTTCTAAGCATGATTAACAATCATTAATATTTCTTAACTCCCTTCATTTTATTCATTCGCTTGCGTTTCTCACTATTCCTTGTTTGGTTTGAGGGGGCAGCACCATCGGAATTTTATTTATTCGATCCCAGTCGAATGAGGTCAGTTAGGCTAACTGCGCGGATCAGATTTTGGTGTCATCTATCGGTCCAAAATATTAGCGAATAGCGGCAGTTATGTGTTGTTGCTGGTCTTTCAGGGCTGTTTGTTAACAGCCAGCTGTAAGCGATCGAAGAGTAATTAATTATAGTAAATTTTAGGCGAAAGAGAAGTGTCCTGATTCATACGACCAGCTGCGAAGTTTGGCAACGAAGCTGTTGATTATTGTCTCCCGTTCTGCACGATTGCTGGAATGCTTGGTAAAGTGTTTTTTATTTTAATTATTGTCCTGTATTTATCTTTTTGTCGTTCAGGAGTTTGATCCGAATGAGTTTTATCAAATGCTAGAAAAAGCCGAGGACTTGGCCAGGGAAGCTAAACACATCACTGATATTCCAATGTATATCATTTCCAAGTTGGGTCTGGATAAAGCGCACATCTCAGGTATTGGTAAACTGTTCTGTTTTTGGCTTAAGTGAGAATGGTGATCAGTCGCATAATGAGCAGTCAGCCAGTCTTCCTACAGTAGCTCTCCTAAAAACAAAATTACTTGATAGCAAAGGTTATAATATAGTGAAAGGCAGTAAACGAAAAATTAGTTATGATACAAATACATGGCATCAGCATTAGCTATCTTACATTTGAGAGGAGGCTTATATGATTCTGTTTTTAATCAGTTTTTTGTAAACTAACTTTAATGACCGCCTCTGAAAAACCACTAGACCTTGTGACCATCACGACCACCAGGTTGTGACTCAATGTCGTATTTATAGATTTAAGTTTTGACTTGCCACGTTGACCCATTAAATCGATGAGGGTAAAGTATTTTGTTCTTCGTAATTAGGATCGAGCTAGCAGCCTAACAGTTGTTACCGTTCCACTTAGTGTGTGTTGCTGTTTTCATTTAGTTATTGCTTAATCAGATCTAGGATTGTAGAAAACCATTTTATGGTTGGACAATCATGGGGTGATCTTGTGACAACTTTAAAACCGTATGTTCGTTACAAGTTCGAAGTGATAGTGGAAACTGATTAGTATATGATATTAATTGCCTTTAATATCTATAAATGGCTCTTATTTGATATTTATAGTGAAACCTTCACTGAAACCAGTAATGTAGCATATTTAAGCACATGTACAAGAACAGTAATGCAATAAATTATTCGTTCGCTTCACATATCGGTGTACCAACCCGTTTTGTCTGTGAGTAATAACTCCTTTTTTTACAGGAAGGGCATATAGCTGCTTCTGATCATTAGAAAGTTGGTCTCCCTTAAACGCCCATCCTAATTGGTACTTGTAGCAGTCTTGTGTTAGAGCGAGTGATGCGTCATTGTATTGGCCTAGCGCATTTTTCCTACGAATACAAAATAATTTACATCTGGAATAAGGAACGGTGATCTCATTCGAATCAACATTGTAAGAGCCGGTCAGAAGGCTGGTCTCGATTAAATACATCTGGCGAAATGGAACAGAGTGGCGTAGTGATAGATCTTATGGCAGCCGTTTATAAGCGATAGTGATAGTGATAAACTAACTAG